TTTCTTACTTTGAACTTTGCGTAGAAAGTTTGGCTATTTTTTTCTTCTTCCTAGATTTCATTTTGTGTGTTTTAAGTGTTTTGGGTAGATGATGATTTTCTGGTGGCACAAACAGATTTTATCAATGGGATGACACGTGGAAACCAGGGAGAGACATGGGGGGGGGGGGGGGCAGTTTTGATACATTGTTTGCAAAACAGTTGGCAATTTGTGAAAATTGGCAACGAAAAAGAGTCGGAAGATGGAATTTCCAAAGGATCACCAGTTTGTAGGAATACAGTAGAATTTTGAATGTTATTTAATACAATCATACATATATATTTAGTATTGTCTAATTACACTTTCCAAAAAATGAATGTGTTCTCACAAACTAGATTTAATCCATTAAAAGCTTATAGAAGTGGGTGCTGGTTTGTGGAATCCACCATGTTGACCTGATATCTTGAATACAGTGGCTGCAGTGGACATCGCCATTCTGCCTAATCACGTTTTTTTTACTTATGTGACCAGCCACACATAGCATGCCCAAGGCGGAGCAGAAGAGAATTCATATGCATTTATGTGCCATAGAGACCAATTCCCTTCATGGTAGCATGAGTAGCATTGATGGTCCCTTCAATGCTACTCAAGATCTGCACCTTGATATTTACAATATGAAGGATCATAGGCATGTTTTATCGTCTCTGAAGGGGTCCCCTTCTCCAAAAAAGGGAAAATGCTAAGCAAAGAGACACAGCCAGAGGCATCTAGATAAAATATCATCATCTTCCTCCTCACCTCAAGCCTATTGAGGAACCATGCAACCCCTCTGTCTCCAGCTGTGAGCTGGCTAAACAGAAATAAGAGCTGGTTATAAGCTAACATTATTCCAGCTAATGTTAGGCCTCCCTCTGATAAACAATTTGATTACTTTTTCACATCATATGACAGTTTATTCACCAAGTGTCCAAGTTTAACAGTGTTAGATCCAGCAGCCAACTAAGAGCTAACAGAGGCAAAAACAGTGGTTCTTACCTACAGAAAAGTTCAGGAAGTTCCTGAACGACTCACATCAGTGTCGCTCTTATTAGACAGAAGTGAGCCTCACTGACTCATATCGTGCTCCTTTCACAAAGTTTTACAAGCTCATCTAGAGCAAATAGACATGAACACATATTAACAGCTGAGGTAAACAGCAGGCTGGTAGTCTACACTCTGAAATAAATGGCAGATATTGTTGTTTGTCCTAGAGTGACCACCATAGCTACAGTTATGCACTTGAATGGGGAGGGTTAAAAAACAGCATTCATTGGCAGCAATCTACAATCTACCAACATATGTTGGTGAGATTATAAATACCAATTTTAATCTTACTGAAGTAAGAGGAAAAAAGAATAAAAATATACCTAAAGGAAAACATCCTTGTTTAATCGTCCACATTATATTACTCGATCGTAATTATTGATTCATTAATGTGTCACTGTGTTGCAGCTGGAGTTTAATGTAATTCATTTTGACTTCTTCTGCCTGGTGGAGGATTTGTCTGAGGTGCAGAAGCATATTATGGCGAGGTTTGCTTTCGTTGCCATGCCACTGTCTCTCATATCAAACAAGAAGATAGTCCTTCAGGGCGCTTTGGATGAATGTTTCGCAAATCTTTTCCTGCCAATGCCACCTTCAAATGTTCGTGCCCTTCAGCCCCCACAAAATATATCCCTTATTAACAGTAAAGAAGGACCCAAATTACATTTCTCCGAGGCAAAAGTTCACACAATAGCTTTCCCAAACTCAGTTATTTAATTTTCCCTACATAAATGATAAATCATAGATATTTAACTTAGTTTCACTCAGTGTTATTCCCCTAGAGTAGCTTAATGTGTCACCAGGGAAACATCGGTGTAGAGAAACACAGGAAACAAAGTACCCTGGCTGAAATTCATGCCACAGATATAGCTTACAGTGGATGCCCTCTTATTCATAAACATGGGACTGAGATTTGCATGTTACAACCCTTCATCAGGAGGGTCTGTCCTATTAAGTGTTATATTCACCCATAGGGCTGTTCGATATAACGATATATATCGGATGGCTATATAAAAACTTCTATCATTTCATTTTACGCTATGTTTCGTGGTGTCGCAAAATAAACTGTTTACGGCAATATTTTTTCATCGTTTTGATGGTCACTGTAGTGGCTATATTCATTTCTTAAAGTTCTCTCTTTCTCTTATATTTAATATAACCACACTACTGACAAGCGCCTGTTTTTATGCGTTGTGGTTAGCAACAACGACGGTAACAGCATTGCGTGTCCGCTTGTTTATGTTCCACATAAACCTTTCACAATAAAGCTCAAGATCCTGTTGAGACTTTTCAAAATAAACTGAATCACGTGAAAGAGCAGATTATTTACGGGTGAGAAGTAAAAAAGAGCCGCCAGGTGCTAAAAAATAAACCTTAGACTCAAACGTTAGAACAGGCTTTTCCCCGCAGCACGCCGTGTAATAAATACAAAGAAAACGGCGGCCTTTACAACTTATGTCTAAAAATGTATCGTTTCATGCATCGGTTAAAACACTCGACTCCAGCTACATGACGCGCAGCTGGAAACA